AATAGGCAGATCTCCAAATGCATGCGTCGAGACTTACGCATCTTCAATACAGCTCGTATTGAGGGAGCTATAGAGCGGAACATAGGCTCAAAAGTCTTCGCCAGAGATCTGTCTATCGGACAAAGCCAACTGACCAAGTTGAAGACTGACAGCGGGGCTGTCATCTCCAGTAGACCAGAGGTTTTGAGTGAGATTGAGAGGTTCTATGGACAGCTGTACACATCGTCGTTGGAGCCACACACATGTGTGAGTTACGACCCAAGAGCAAAGCTTATCCGACACTATTCCGAGAATATCCCGGACGTCAGTCTGAGCGAGATTAGAATGGCTCTCGACCATCTTAAGAATGGCAAAACATCGGGAGAGGACGGAATTACAGCAGAGCTTCTGAAAGCGGGTGGAGAACCGGTACTTGTAGTCCTTCAGAGGCTCTTTAATTTCGTCCTTCAGGGTGGTGCTACACCAGAGGCATGGAGCAGAAGTGTGGTGGTGCTGTTCTTCAAGAAAGGCGATAACGCTCTCTTGAAGAAATATAGACCGATTTCCCTTCTGAGCCGCGTCTATGTGCTGTTCTCAAGAGTCATCTTGAATCGTCTCGCTTCCAGACTCGACGACTTCCAGCCTCCCGAACAAGCCGGATTCCGAAAAGGCTTCAGTACCATAGACCACATACACACCTTGCGGCAGGTTATACAGAAGACGGAAGAGTATAATCTGCCTTTGTGCCTAGCGTATGTGGACTATAAGAAAGCCTTCGATTCTGTCGAAATTTGGGCGGTACTCCAGGCTCTTCAGCGGTGCCAAATTGACTATCGGTATATCGAAGTGCTGAGTTGTTTGTATAACAAGGCTACGATGTCCGTCCAAGTACAGTCCAGTAGTACAAAACCTATCCATCTGCAGAAGGGTGTAAGACAGGGTGATGTCATATCCCCGAAACTCTTCACCGTTGCGTTGGAAGATGTTTTCAAGCTTCTGGACTGGAAAGGACGAGGTATTAACATCAATGGCGAATACATCACCCACCTTCGATTTGCCGACGATATAGTCATCATGGCAGAATCGCTGGAGGACCTGGGTGCTATGCTCAATGACCTCAACAGTGTCTCCCAACGGGTGGGCCTTAAGATGAACATGGACAAGACGAAGATCATGTCTAATGTCCATTTCACGCCTATACCGGTTGTCGTTGGGAGCACTGAGCTCGAAGTTGTTGACGAGTACGTTTACCTAGGACAGTTAGTCCGGCTAGGTAAGTCCAACTTCGACGCACAGGTCAATCGGCGAATCCAACTCGGATGGGCAGCGTTCGGGAAACTTCGGCAAATCTTCTCGTCGAATATACCTCAATGTTTGAAGACTAAAGTCTTCAATCAATGTGTGTTGCCAGTGATGACCTACGGAGCCGAGACGTGGTCCTTCACTGCTGGCCGTATGAGGAAGCTCAAAGTCGCTCAGCGAGCTATGGAGCGGGCTATACTCGGTATTTCTCTGCGTGATAGAGTTCGTAACGAAGACATCCGCAGTAGAACCAAGGTAACCGACATAGCTCAGAGGATTAGCAAGCTGAAGTGGCGATGGGCCGGCCATATAGCTCGTAGAACCGATAACCGTTGGGGAAGAAAGGTTCTCGAGTAGCAGCCTCGTACTGGCCATCGCAGTGTAGGACGACCCCCCACTAGATGGAGTGACGACCTGTGCAAATGTGCGGGAAGTCGATGGATGCAGGTGGCTCACGATCGTACTTCGTGGCAGTCTGTGGGGGAGGCCTATGTTCAGCAGTGGACTCAAACAGGCTGAAATGATGATGATGATGATGATAAATACTAGAACTTTACTTAAGGACTAATTCCAATAAAATATTTGGACTAGAGTGATCGACAGTCACAATAGTCCCGTTTGAAAAACATCAAAAGAAATTGCATATTGCCAAATTGCAGCTCTTAATTTCAAATTACCACCCCCCATAACAAGCAAAGTATGAAATGGAAATGGCTTGGGAAAAGTTCCATTACTTTGGAATTTTCCCTCCGATGGAGGTTCCTCGGCCTGGATGATGGACCTGTTATGTTATCAATCACTTACAGAAGTTGGTAAGTTTTCTATTGCGTATGCACCCTGTCTGAATGTAATCTCTGCGCACGCCACTGCTTAGCGATGCCGTACATTTGCTTCAAGTTGTTGTGGTTCGAACTTGAGAGCCTACACTGGTGAATATTAGTAGATTAGGTTCCATTTGCGAATCTCTTGCGGAGCTCGGGACAGACCTCTGGTCAAGTATATATCACTCATTATTATAAAAATAAAATTAAAATTTTAAAAATCATAAAGCCTTTTTTTCTTCCAGAAAATGCTCGTTTGAAAATTTTATTAGTTTTGTTAGTATTAAAAGAATTAATACTTTGTTAATTTAATAATTAGTAGTTACAGTTTATAAAAAGATTTTTAGATATGTTAATATTATAGTGAAATTATTCTGTAAGCCAGTTTTCTCTGAATTGCGCTGTTTGTATGCATTTTGGACCCGCTGTGCGTTTAGTGTGATGTTTTTTTGGAGCTTCTAGCTCCAAAATGCGAACTAAAAGGAACCTTCTTCACTATGAATTGACTAACATATCTATTGTCCATCGGCATTGTTACTATCTCTATAAAACTAAAGTACCTAACTGAAACGAGCTTGGGTGAAATTTAAATAAAAATATAAATTAAATAACTAACTTACACCATCACGTAATAAAGCCGTAATAACACGCTCTATTAACTTAAGAGTACATCAGAGCAAGCTTTGGTATTAAAATGTCCGCCCAATGTTTATGGGTAGGATTTTAACTAGTCAAGAGCCCTCGCCTACACAAGGGCACGGGATCGGCGTACTGAGTTTGTTTGGCTTCGGGAAAAGTCACTTTCTGTTTCCTTTGCCCCTTAATATAAGTCGAATTGCTAAAAATTACTCTCCCCATTGTCCGGTGAGCCGATTTGCGTCAACGAACCCAAGAATATTTGATTCCTGATCGTTTTATTTAAAGACATTTTGTGCCCGTGACATAGCCCGCGTGATTTTCGATACGGAATTGAACTTGTTCAACTGACAAACTCGCTTCCTTTGGTTAAGAAATTTCAGACACATTGGTGTTTGTTAAATTCTTAGCTACGGCGAGTTAACAAACTTGATTGATATATCCTTACTTCCTTACTAATATTATAAAGGCAAAAGTTCATATGTATCGGATGGATGATAGTTACTCTTTCACGCAAATAGGTACTGAATGGATTTTAATGAAACTTTACAATAATATAGCTTATACATCAGAATAACATATAGGCTATTATTTATATACATATTTTTATGTATATCTGTCTTTCTATCTGAATGTTACGCCTTCAGCCTGTCTCCTACACGGATTATAATATAAAAGAATATACTATAAAAGAAATCCTTACTAATATTATAAAGGCGAAAGTTTGTATGTATGGATGGATGTATGTTACTCTTTCACGCAAATACTACTGAATGTAGTATTTGCGTGTAGTATTTGCGTAGTACACTACCTGTAAATATGGACAAAATTACAAATTATTTTGATATTATTGACTCTATGTCGAGCAATCGACGATTCGAATGGCGTAGTGGGTTGTGTACCTGCCTCCTTCGTCAGAGGGTGTGGGTTCGAGTGGTCCAGTAGTGGGGACTGGAGAAATATGGTGTGATGATCATAGTGTTGTTTTAGTTATTATATATTTATAATGTATTTATTTACAAAAGATAAGTATGTTTAAGTATGTTTCTCATTTATCTAGTACCCATAGTACAAGCGTCGCTTAGTTTGGGACTAGATAACGTAGTGTAAAAATGTGTCCTAAAATATTTATTATCATTATTATTAAATATTATAGTCAAACTTATTTCATCAATAATATCGGGTGCACACGGCCATACTTTAATTTTGGCGGCAAAGTTTCAGAGCTGACACTTTTAAATTCGATATTTAAATCACTGACATTAACATAATATGCATGTTCCGATGCGGTTTGGTCGTTTCGGAGCAGGAAACGATTTCGCAGGGTCACCGCGCCGTCAGCTTGTTCAAGCGAAAACATTTATTTCAGCTCGCGTAATGTCGAGGGTCCGGTCTTGAGACGGTCGTGGTTCGAATCTCCGAGTAATAAAACTGTGGGAGGTACGGAACAGTCTTCACTGTTGCACGGATGGGCAGGTCCGTTCGGGTAAGTACCATCTCACAGAAGACCGGCGCGAAGTGGAAGTTATATTCTTTTGCGTTTCGTCTGGTGAGTGGGGCAGGCGGGGCCCATTTTATTAAAAGGTGGCAACGCATCTGTAACCCTACGGGTGTTGCAAATATCAATGGCCGGTGGTTGCCAGTTAACATGAGATTCAAACCAGTGTTGTTTAAACTTCGGATAAAATGTTTGCTAAGGTCGAAAGACATAAACAGTGCTCTGCACTTTTACCAAAAAATCTCTAATTGTATATGGTTACATAAGGTTAAATAAGGGCAAATAGGGCGTCATCATTCCATCCACACCACCTCGATGGCCATCGTTCCACAACAACATAATTTTTAAGACATTTCTGCATCGCTGGTTCCACAGAGTGTTTACTCTGTGGATTCAGCCGTCACCGGCAGTCTTTCTTAACCGTTACGATCTGGGAACCTTCCAGAAGAGAGCATATTCTTTACTGAAAGGCAATTTGCAAGCCCTCCAGTGTTGCAGATGTTCACGGGCGGCGGTGATAACTTTCGATCAGGTGAGCACGATTAATATGCCCCCTTTTTCCATTAAAAAAGGCAATACTTGACCGCCATTTGAACCGAAACCAGCACATGCAAAATTGTATAACTGATTATTACCGCATATAGAGCACTAACGCAAGGCACAATTTTTTGGCAAAAATCCAACAGACCTTCATTGCTGCCATTAACCGGACCAACGACCTCAGGCTGCGGGTCGAATTTCTCGTAAAGGCACCTGTAAGTTTACTTCCGGGGCTGTTGTACGCCCTCGGTGATGGCAATGGTGCCTTTCGCCAACGCAGACCTGAAATGCAAGAAGGTCGATGCGTATTGTCCCGGGGCGATGATACTGTTGAGCAGTGATATTCCGTCTTTTGGTGCTCTTTGGCTTGGTCTTTTGGTGATCTTTGGTCTGGGTGCTGGGGTGTAGAAATTTATGCAGACAGCTTGGTGTCTATCATAGGTAACAAATATCCGTGTTTATCCGTGTTTTCCGAGCTTATTCAGACTCAAATCCCACCTCCACAGTCACCCTAGCTCGGCTACAACTGTGGAATCGTGATTCCCATAGGATAAATAAAACTTTGTGTTTATGTGTTCACGCCTCTAGGATTTGAAGACAAAAAACCTTATTCCAACATGCCTGCCACTGGGGTAGTGGATTACCATCAAAAATTAATTAATTGCCTATTCAAAGCGCTATTGTTGACTTGTTAAGTTTCACACAACCTTTCAGAAGGCGAAATGATCCTCGATTAGATCAGTATTTCATATTTATATGCCTTCACAGCAAAGTCATGAGTTGTGTGGGTAGGGTTACCAGCTTTATTGAAGAAGAGACAAATTGATACGTTTGAATCTTTCCTTCGGCCCGTTCTAGTCAAAAGCTCTTGCGTGGCTCTGACAGTGTCGTGATTTGGGTTGATATTTACAAATTTACGTTGTTACTTAATTAATTGATTATAATTACGGCCGTTAGTGTTTATAAATAAGATTGATCAGCTCTTAGGCCACGTAACATGCTCCGCTGTTGCATGAATCGGCAGGTCCATCCGGGTCCACGACCCCACAGATGACCGATGTGAAGAGGAAGTTTTACACTTCCGCGTTTCGCCTGGTGAGTTAGCAGGGGCCCACTTTGTTAAAAGGTGGCACCGCGTCTGGAACCCTACCTGGTGTTGCAAATGTTAATCGGCGGTTATCAATTATTATCAGGTGAACCGCTCTAAAAAAAGCTCACGTGAGAAATACAATAGCTCGAACTTCCAATTCCCTTGACCATCATTGATCTGAGATAGAATTGAATCGAACTTGTCATTTAAAACGGATCTGAGTGGGAGGTAATTTATTTATAAATTATTTTAAAGGCTATATGTGTTGTGTTTAAGTTGTAACGGTAAATTTTTCACAAAAAATATAAACAGGAAGAAACCTTGACGTTTTATATTTAAATACAAAAAGTCGCTAAGCAGTATCAATTAAGATAAATAAGATATAAATGTTATATAATTTTCCGGAAACAACACGATCCGATAGTGTTGTAAAAATAAGCAGTATTTAGCGACATTTAGCTCAAAATACATGCATGTATATGTAACAGGTTCATCATAAGTTTAGTATTATTAAAACATGCAAAGAGACAAGTTATTTTGTACAAACATCGCACTCTCAAATATGTATAACGACGGCATGGTTATATTTTATATTTTATAAAAGAAGATTTACAGCTTTCTCTCGTTTTTAATTTACACATCGCTCTAAATATATTTTCTTTCTTGCTGCAATTTCCCCAGAATATGATTCCATATCTAAGATGGCAACAGTTAACAGTGATTCAAATGTTTAAGGTGCTAGACAATTTCCATAGAATATATGCCGCTTTACTTATTTTGTTACACACTATGCGAGCAAGTGATTAACATGATGTAAATGAATACCACCTCCCATCATTATCATTATCATCATTACAGCCTGTTAGAGTTCAGTGCTGAACAAAGGCCTTCCCCTCAGACTGTCACGAAGCACGATCCTGAGCCATCTCCCATGAACAGCTATAAAATCTGAGGCGTTGCCAACCTTTAAAAAAGTGAGGCCTCACACTTCGGACGTGAAAGTATATATTACATCCACTCCACGTCGGTGTTCCGTTGGGCTGTAGAGTTCATTCCTCAAGCTGTTGCGTCGCTACGGAAAGAGAAAAAATTAAATACAGTACAATATTGTCAATTGCCTACAATCTGATTTGCTCTGCAACGATACGCAGATAATAAAAATCTCATTAAAAAAAACTTCCAGAACGTTCATGAACTATTTCAACACGTACACAGAGTCGTTCTGACATTTTAAATTATTTAAGTGGTAACCCTACGCGGCGGGAAAGAGCTCACCTTGCTCGCGACGCTTCCCGCGCTCCGACCTCGCCGGCGGCCGCGAAGCCTCGGCAAGCTTCGGGAGTGTTCGGCCGCGCTCGGCCGCTCTCGGCTGGTCCGTTTTAATTGGCGCGAGATTCGCTTTTATTTATCTAATAGAATGCCCCGCACGGCGCGATGAAAGCAAAACGGCCCCACATTTCTCTTTTAACGCGCGGAGTTATACAATTCGCCTATTAAACACGCAAAGAACGGAAGGGCCGCATAAATAAATAAGCTAATGTCGGCTCACCTAGTCGTATTCGAGAAATTTCGCGGTATGTTACGTACATTATGTCCAGAAGCTATTTGTTTACTGTATTTTCTTTGTAATGGAGAAGTAGACCTTGTTATTTCTCATAAATATATAATATTAGTTAACATAATATTAAATAAATCGTAATCGTATATTAAATAACGATAATTTAAATTATGAAGTATAGGTACAGACAATAATTATTGGTAGTTAGTTTTTTAATTCTCCTTTTCAATTCCGGTATAGTGGTTTATCTATAAAATCCAAATCAACAAAAAAATGTCGGCAAGTGTTTCATTTGGACATATGGCAAAACGCGACCTCGATGACACTAACAAGATAAACACTTGTAAATGGCAGTCGTCAGAAGTCACTTACTTCTGACGACTTAAATTGTTTCAACTTCTGACTGATTGTTTGCAATAAACGTCAGTTAAATATAATCTTATGATGAACGATTATCGCAGATTTTTACCAAAATCATTTAGTAGTTCAACAATTATATGATATTTCATATACATTTGTAAAAATACGAGAATTGTAACTATATGATTGATAGTTCTAAAGGATCGAAAGCTATATATATGAAAAATATGATTATATTTATCTTTTATTATGGCATCTTGTTTGTTTTTCTTTGTGTACATTTTAATTGAAACATATTGTTTATAAAATATGATTGACACTAATTAAAAAAAAGATTATAAAAAAAATCACATGATATGAACCCCGTACCTAGAATACCACAAACTTAAAATGGAAGCAATGAAAAATTCCTTTAATGGCGGCGATGTTACCATAATATGTCACAGTCAGATTTGGAAAGTTACGTTTGCTGAGGTTACTGCGGGCAATGCAAATACACAAACTCTTTCTTAACAGTGCCCCGCAGACATTCTCATTAATTATTTATTGTATTTGCATATACCGAATGTTTTCTATTGGGCGTGTAATAAGCCAGATGCTATTAAACCACTATGAAATTAAATTTTCAAGTTGGAATGCATAATCGTGTATTTCAACAAAACTCCCTAGAAATATTGTTACGAAATATTACAGGGTAACGCCGCGTTTCTGAAACACAGGTCATCGTAGAAATGAACTCGAACTACTTGAGTTCGATCCCCGGTGCCAGCACCAATGGAATTGTTAATTTTAAGTGCTGTCTTATCACGTGCTCAGCGGTGATGGAAAACATTGTTAGGAAACCTACATATTTTCGAAATAACTACAAAAAATGTGGGGCCTAATACATGGGAGCCTAATAATGGTGGGACATAACATATAGGCCTTTGCTTCTGATCCTGGATCCGATGTCACGGGTTCGAAAAGAAATATTTTTTTTGTTCAAAAATGATTGTTCCTCTGCATAGCGTGGACGGCGAGTGTCTTACTTGCCTGGGACTAAACAGCCTAAGATTTAAAAAGTAAAACTTGTCAACAATAAGCTCAGTCGGCTTGTTTGTTATTTTAAAATATTTTGTGTACTTGTATCTCACCTTAATACCGAAACCTTGCCGATATACATAGAACATCAATGTAAAGTTTCGATACCGATTTGACTTTAAAGATTGGGATTCAAACACAACCACACTACAGGATTTAGATACAATTTATACCAAAAAAAATTTTTTTTAATTATTTTAATCGAGCATTAATGTTATAGTTGCCGCCAATTTACATTTGCATTTGAAAGTTAGGATTTTTCGATCCCGAGTCCGGATCTTTGTTTCCCTTTCCGTTATTTTCGCGGTTCCAAATTCAAAAAGAAAAAGGGATTTAGCCGCGTCCACATTACGAGAACGCCGGGAGCCTGACCCGATTCCCGAACGCATCCATTCCGAGGCGTTTGATAATGATAACATTAGTTTCGGGGCGGAATAAAAATAAGCGCGCGTCGGGCGCGCGACGGGGCGCGGTAGGCAGTTCAGTGACTCGCGGACCGTCGTGCGGTGCGGACCTGCGTGCGACAGGCTCGCATACGTGAAACATATCGCGAACTGTATTCCCTTCGTGTGTCGATCGTGTGTGAAACGGCAAACGGTGACATTGTGCTACGTGCCGTCCGATGTTGGAAACTTGGTTGTTTATAAGAATTTTGGGTTTGATTTTTGATTGATATTTCCCTTGGATATATGTATCTTTGTGCGTGTGGACCAGATCAGTGAACTTTTGGATTGCGTTTTGGATACGGTGAGCAAACCCTTTCTTTGGTTTTCATTCACGATTGTCTTTGCTTTTGATGTTTTGAGCGGTTTTATTGTTGTGTTACTGTTGTCGCGGCGTCAATAGGCGCAAATATGAATTAATTGTGTAGCTATCAACGGATTTATATAAAACATTAGCGTAAAATAGTCAGCCGCGTGTTTTCGCACTTATCATTTTTATTGAGGCTGGTGTTTTAATAGAGATAACAATTTTTAACATGTAGCCAGTTACCATTGGGTCTCTTTCATATTTGTTCATTTACTCGCTCTCTTTTGTTTGTTAACATTTGAAGTTAGATTAAACACACTGTTTATTGGAGCAATATCAAAAAATTGTAACTATGTTAGATATAAATTTACATTACAACTCAGGTTCATACTAAAAGTTTACAAACATATATTTTTTATTTACAAATTTATAAATTTTGTTTCCAATTGATCTAATATTTACAAGATTAAATCTATCTAAAATTACATATTATCTAATAAACCTAATCCACGCGGCATGGTGCCAAGAACGCTAGCTGCAATTCAATTATTATATTATATTAATTATTGTATTCTTCGTGGCAGTCTATGGGGGAGGCCTATGTTCAGCAGTGGACTCAAACAGGCTGAAATGATTGTATTCTATTTCCAATTTAATTATAATTTAAAGTAGGTAGTTCGACATTCTGTATTTTCTGCATTTTGAAATATAAAAATAAATATATTAAAGATGAATGTAGAGTTTTAGCAGGTTTGTATTTTTTTTTAGTTACACTATCAACTTTTAAATTAAAATTAAATGTTAGCAGCCTATACACCGTTTTTGAGATAATTTTTTCACTTCGATCACAGATGGAGTATCCTTTAAGGAGGAAATTATTAATTTAACTTCAAACAAGTCGCTATTACAACTTGAATACGATTGTAGTCAAGACTCCAGGGATATTACGGCGGTTTGTTTCGAGGATATTAAAATATTCAAGGTTGTTTTTTGTACCTTCGTATGCGCTCCAATAAGTGTTTTTTTTTCTGAGCATACATTCAAGGTCAGAGCGCTGTTTACATCTAGCATCAGGTGGTTACTTTGTATCATTACGAGCCAATATAAATGTCACAAAGCTTTGATTTAACGACCCATTGTATACAAATAATTGTGAATGTTATAATTAGATTACCCCTATACAAAACGGTATAATCCTTTCGCACACTATAGGGGCCTACCCAAAAGGAGAAAATGTCGGGAATGTTTCGCTAAAAAGAGAAACACAATACTTTTTATTGACCTTTACGGGATTTACACCTTATTCGATGACTCCGTGGCGCAGTTGCGGTGTCGGGGGTCTTGGGTTCGATTCCCACACGGGACAACTATTTGTGTGACCCACAGATAGTGGTTTCGCACCTGGGTGTTTGTCCGCGTGATATTTATGTTTGTAAAACGTCCTTACAACACAGCTTAATGTTATCCTAAAGTAAAGGCAATATTTAATAAAGTAAAAAAAATAAGTAAATTACAATCTTTCGTTAAACATGACTGTCAACCTCTAAGTAAATACATTTGAGAAGAACTAAGATCAACAAGCAAAAATTTTGTCCTGGATTTGGCCTTGTCTCTATCTAACAAATACCCTGCAAAGCTATTAGCTATTAACACTGTGTCATATTCCTATAAATTTCGAGAGCATGAATGTGACTGGTGAGGACATCTAAATTACAAAAAAATAATACTGCACTCTTATCGCTGGCTTTTTAAAAAAGCAAGATGGCGTCATAACTTCCCGCCACTACGCACGAACTCTACGGGTTTTGCGTCAAATTTGACAATCATCTTAACACCAGTCGCATTATATTAACGGCGACTTTAATCATATTTATCCGACAGCGTAATTCACATCCGTGACCGTCGTGGAGGCTTCGTATTTAATTCAATTTGCTTACGACAGTGTCTACGCGTGATTACATCCGAAATCATATATTTTATGTGCCGTCAAAACTTTTGCTATAGATAACAATATTTTCTGTAGGTTTTCAAGGTTTTCAAGTTACAGGCCCGGCAGCATTAGTGGGGGAAAAGCGGGGCTTGCTTGATATATTTATTTCAATTTATCAATAATTTATAAATGACTTCTATATGCAATTGTTTACGGTTTTCGAAGTATAGTAAGTCGTAGATAACAATACTTATCACTATCTACCTCTTTAGGGTTAAAAGACACGAACATTTGTCATTACATTTTTGTATATTACTGTACAGAGTTTTACACTCGTCTGATAAAACGTTTGCAATGTACGAGTATAAAGCTTTTACTTAGAAAAAAAAGGAAGAATACTTGACTTATGAATTTAATTTATACGTGTCGACAATCTCACGTATTTGACCTTAACGCAGTAGAGAGAGAGAGATGCAGGTGATACCTAGCGCATTAGTCGTTTCGTTTGATGAGCTTGTCACCGTAATTATACATATATCACGACCTCATGGATGATCGGCATGAAGTTTTATACTTCAACGTTTCGTCTGGAGCGTGAGGTACCCTGGGCGCACTTTTAAAAGGTAGCAAGGCATCTGCATTTAACATCACGTGATCCATCAGATCCCTTGCCAATTTCTCACAAAAAGAAAAAAATGTGTAATACTAAACTATATGTATACATACGTGTCAGTTACAAACAGATAGTTGGACTATGATATCAAATAGTTGTATATATATTCAGAGGTCAATTTCGATTGAGTTCGCGCCTGTCGGCCTCCCTCTCAAAGTCACACGAAGGTATAAGGACCTCAAACTTTGGGGCGAATGCCCTTGCGACTGTGTTTATTCAAGGAATCTGTTCAAATTCCGCACGTATAAAAATTCATAAACGTAATCAACGTTTTACTTATTTTTTTTCCTATGCGAAAAGTTGTCTATTGAGCAAACGGTTCACTTGTTGTTAAGCGATTACCGCCGTCTTGAATTTAACACCTGAGGGCTTGTAGACGCGTGTCTACAGTTTCCCGGTAAAAAAACAGTGTTCGCCATTGCACGAATGGGCAGGCCCGTCCGGGTCCGGGACCACGTCCGGGACCACGACCTGGCAGAAAACCGGTGTGAAGTGGAAGCGTCATACTTCTGCGTTTCGTATGGTTAGTGAGGTAGCTAGGGCCCACTTTATGAAAAGTGACCAAAACGTCTACGGGTGTTGCAAATGTCCATGGGCGGCGGTGATCGCTTAACATCAGGCGAACTGCTGGATCGCTTGCAAGCTTCTCACATAAATAAACAGCCCAAGTGCACGAAGGGTACCATTATCTATAAAACCTGCAAAAAAAACATTTCGGTTGTATGGGAATCCCACTTTTTTTTAATTCTGTTATTTAGTATTTGTTGTTAGAGCGGCAACAGAAATACATCATCTGTGCAAATTTTTACTGTCTATCACGTTTCATGAGAACAGGCAGACAGACAGACGGCGGAGTCTTATTAATAGGGTCCCATTTTACCCTTTGGGTACGGAACGAACGTAAAATTTTCGGGTAATTTTTAGTCCAACTCTTTAATATTCGCGTTTTAAGTTCGGTTCGTTTAAAGCGACGTTTTATCGCATTTTAACTGGACTTTATCGACTGACATCATAGATAAAAACTTTTGAACGATATATTAACTTATTCTCTCAAACGCGATTGCTATTTTTAGACGTGGCCATTGTGAGTTTTTGAGTTGTCTTAAAAACTTTCGTCAGATTATTTGCCAATGCGTATTGGTGAGTGAAACATAATTTTATAGTCACCGACGTGATGGTGTTCGACCTTTAAGGCTCTAGAAACGGGACGGATGGGTTATGGTCAAAATATAATCTTTACTCCAATTACTACTTCGCCCAACGCAAGGTTTTGTTTACATTCCATAATCGTGTCCCCGCTAATGCTAGGTGTAATTGTACCGTTATCTGCTCTGGCGTTATCTCGCGATATATCAATTATACTTTAAGTGGCCCAACGCCACGTGCCTCGACGGCAATCCGAGGTAGACCTTCGATGCTCGGTCATTTTTAAATCGTTCACTCACGTGACATTCGTTTAACTTACGGACATAGCAAGGTGACAAATTTCATGGTGAAATTTAAACGTGTTAGGTTTTGTTCCGAGCCGTGATAGCTCAGTGTCAGGGCGCTCGCTTTCAGTTCGATGTACTCGAGCAACCCAAGTTCAAATCCCAGTGCCGGCGCCAATGACATTGGTAATTTTAAGTGCTGAATCATCACGCGCTCGGCGGTGAAGGAAAACACCGAAATCTATATATTTTCTATAAAAAAAATAACGAAAAAAAAACATTTCGAAGATATGTGAAGTCCGCTTATCCGCAATGGGGCGCGCCCAATGCCCCCTATATGGAGGAGGTCTTTGCCCAGCAGTGGGACATGTATAGGCTGTTTTATACTTTATGTTTTGCTCTTACTACCACCGAAGCAACATATCCCGTGTGAATATCACGAAATACCAATTAGGTACTCTGTTCGACGTCGACATATCGTAGTACCAATTAATGTAAATATTGCACTACGTCAGCGCCATTGGCTTAAAAAAAATAACGTCATTAGATTCGTGTGTGACGTCCACGACATAAAGGCAACTAATGCGCTGTGCAGTACGTTAACAAATTTCAACAAAAAATTGTCTAACGACATTCATCTTCGCTACAATGCATTTGCGATCGGCCGCTATCCAATGCGCTAATATTGAATAAACACATTTAAAGCGTAACCTCTCGAAAGTTGCAGTATCGGATATCCCGTCGCGTGTAATCTGCAAATTCT